ATTCAGACATACTATTTAAGATACGAAAAATAAAAACATTTATATTATGTGATGAGTTTTATTTGATTAGTTGATGAAATGTGAACATGGTCGTTAATAAAGGTTTTGGAGATATTGTTCTTAGTAGATACTAATGTGAACATACAAACATATATTCAGTTAGAATAACATATAATTAGAAGTTCAAAAGTTATAAATAATAGATTTTTAACATTTTTGAAAAAAACCTTCTATTAGGTAAGGGGTCAAATTTAATTTTAATGGCAATTTAATAAAAATTGAAATATTTCTATCTATTTAATGAATATAAAAAAAATATTTAAAAAGGCATGAGTCATTCTTTAAAAGAATAAAATTAGTTGTCAAGTTACTTATTGTAAGTTTGTATACAGTTCACAAAGCTGCCATCTGTCGTCGAATAGTGCAACATTTTGAGTAAGAAATGTCAGTAAGAAACAATAGATGTCGCTTTATATAAAATATATTATTTAATTGAAACATCTAAATCATGTGCCTGTTATGTAAAAATAATAGGTATTTAAATTTATATCATTCATCAAAATTTTACTTAAAAGTTAGGTCCTGAAATTGGTATTAGTTACTTTGAGAGTAGTAAGAAAATATTGAAGTTAAGGCAGCAGTAAGATAGATGGCGCTATTAAAAAACTTTTGTGTTAAACTTTGTATTTATTCTGTTACAAATGATCCTGAAATATTAATTATCTCACCAAAAACATGCCTGTTAAAAAGGGGGCCAAGTTCCAATCGGCTAATTGTTTGCCTAAAAAAGGGGTGAAATCCAATCTAATGCCAAGTTTAGATGCACTTTGAAATCGATCATAATCATCTTCATCAACAGCATGATCCACTGGTAAACATTTGCCATTCCCAAGACTCGCCACCACACCCAGTCCTCTGCCTTCCACATCCAGCCACTACCCGCCACCTTATTCACGTCAACGGTCCATCTGGCCGAAATTCACTTTACCATACACCCAACTTAAAATATGGTATAGTTGTGAAAATACGTAGGTGCTTGGTTAAAAATATCTAAAATTATAATACTTCTCAATTTGAACTTGGCAGGTTTTTGTGTTCTACGTAACACTTAATTAATTGTATCATTAATTTATTATTTAGTTATACAATTATTTATATTTATATAATTTAAATATTATATAATTTAAATAATTAAATTAACCTGCCAAGTTCAAATTTAGAAGTATTATAATTTTAGATATTTTTAACCAAGCACCTACGTATTTTCACAACTATACCATATTTTAAGTTGGGTGTATGGTAAAGTGAATTTCGGCCAGATGGACCGTTGACGTGAATAAGGTGGCGGGTAGTGGCTGGATGTGGAAGGCAGAGGACTGGGTGTGGTGGCGAGTCTTGGGAATGGCAAATGTTTACCAGTGGATCATGCTGTTGATGAAGATGATTATGATCGATTTCAAAGTGCATCTAAACTTGGCATTAGATTGGATTTCACCCCTTTTTTAGGCAAACAATTAGCCGATTGGAACTTGGCCCCCTTTTTAACAGGCATGTTTTTGGTGAGATTTTTCAATACTTTTTTTCAAGAAATCGTACATACAATCGTACTATACAGCCGTACAATGCATAACTTACAGCATGAAACATACAGCTACCATCTGATGGCATAGAAATTACCCTATGTGGTATATCTCCGCCAACCACCAAAAGATGCACAATTTCCATCGTTGGTAAATGAATAGTAGAAAAGAAATAGAGTGAATTTGTGCTTTTAACACACACAAGTAATCAATCAATAAGCAATATCAAAATTAATCCTTTAGCAAGTCAAATCAGTGATCCATTTAATCGTAATCGTAACCATATATAAGATATCAAGACATAAGTGTAGAAAGAAATAGAAAGAAATGACCATCGATTCCTTATCGACTTTCATTCATATATACTGCAGACAACACAATATCGCGATTCAATTATACCGCTAGCGCCATCTATCGAAAGTAATTTATAACAATAGAAACCTGATTTTTTAGGTAAGCAATATTTAATTAAGTTATACAGTGTGCATTATGTATACATGACAATATTTTATATCCCTTATATATATCTCAGTTCTTAAGAAGCGCCCCACACTTTTTTCACAATAATATTAATTTAAAAATAAATTAACAAGCAATAAATGGTATTTTTGTGAAAAAAAGCGTGATGAGCTTCATATATCAGTTCTTGAGAAGCGCCCCACGCTTTTTTTTCAATAATACCATTTATTGTTTATTTTAAACAATTTAAATTAAATTGATTTCCAAGGTTGTAAAGGTTAAATTAGTTTCCACACGGTTTCTTTCATCATTGGAGCGTGTTTTTTAGTTTTTTTTTAAACTACATATTTATTTTTTAGTTTCATTTATCACCGATTGATAGATGTACTCATATTATTAATTATTAATATTTCATTATTATGTATTTTATTGTGCTGAGCTGAGCGCCTATATAAAGGTTTTGATTACCTGTCAGTGAGTCCAGTGCCAAAATTAGCTATTTTCACAGGGTCATATTTCAGGATCTACTGAAGCTTTATCTATGAAATTTGGCATACTGCTTTAGGACTGGTATATGATTACGTAGGTACAATTTTATCTCTGTACTTGCAATAGACACTGAGCTACAGGGGCTCAAAAGTGGGTCGAATTTAATAAAAATTCGATATTTAGAATTGAGGCAACTCACGCTTGACCGATTTCTTAAATTTCTTAATTTTTTGTTAATCTACATATAACACACAACCTGTGTACCAAATTTCATAATGCTAAAACAATGGGAAGTGGCCTAGAGGTTTTGATTACCTGTCAGTGAGTCAGTGCCAAAATTAGCTATTTTCACAGGGTCATATTTCAGGATCTACTGAAGCTTTATCTATGAAATTTGGCATACTGCTTTAGTACTAGTATATGATTACGTAGGTAAAATTTTATCTCTGTACTTGCAATAGGCACTGAGCTACAGGGGGGTCAAAAGTGGGTCGAAACGGTTCGTGTAAATATAGTGCACGGCATGCGCCGGCCTGTGGAACTTGGCCGGCGCACTACCGTGCGCTTAGAACTAAAATTATCAGACTTCATCCTAAAAAGAAATCGGTTAATAAAATTACAATATCTTGTAATCAATACATTAACTTTAATGGGATAAATTAAGAAGTATCGAAACAGTATAGACCTAATATAACTCTATATGACTAAAAATATTATTATCGCTTTCTTCACAGCTAACACATGAAATATATAAAATACAACACTATTTTAATTTATATTAGGATATATGAAAATCATATTTTATATTATTACTAGAAGAAAACCCGGCTTCGCTCGGGTGAAATTTGACTCATAATACACTTCTAGTTGCAAAATGTAGGTAGAAATTTGTGTTGTCATCGGTTCTCGAGGAATATAAAGGAACTAGCTTTGCGACTTCGTCTGCGTGGAATAGTGACTTCCGGCAGATTTTTGGTTCTTCCCATATTGTTCCCGTTCTTGCGGGGTTTTCGGAATGGTCGAGTTCCCGTAGAGTTTTCAGGATAAAACCTTTGTTTTTTTTAATTCACTATGAAGTACTCTTAACCAACAACATATTTATTTGTTTATTAGAATAAAGATTAATATTATTATGTTGATACAACTTACACAAATTATTTCGACCAAATTAGGTACCATAAAAACGGTTTTTGTGGGTTAATCTTAAAAGATAGACATATATATACTGTCGCGGACTGTTTTTAGATCATTAAAAGAGCTATTATTCTTTACTACATATTTTTTGTGTATCCTGAATCGTTTTCACGGCGCACGCAGCGGAAGGCTTCAAAGATGAAATAATTCTCCCGTTTTTTACACATTTACCACTATATCTTTGCTCCTATTAGTCGTAGCGTGATGTTATATAGCCCACAGCCTTCCTCGATAACTGGACTATCCAACACAAAAAGAATTATTCAATTCGAACCAGTAGTTTCGGAGATTAGCGCTTTCAAACAAACAAACAAATAAACTCTTCAGCTTTATAATCTATATATATATATATATATAGAGTTCCTAAAATATTCCTCTTATATATATATAAGAAAGTCGTGTTAGTGACTTCACTTATAACCCAAGAACGGCTGAACCGATTCAGCTGAAAATTGGCAGGGAAGTAGTTTAGAACCAGGAAATTGCAATAGGATACTTTTTATCCCGTTCGACAGCATTCCCGTGGGACTTGATATGAAACGTCAGTCATTATAAATCGTGGAATAACACAATTGACAGCTATGCAATTGACGTATAATAACAGATATGTAATGACGTATGGATGACAATTAGATATTTGTAAGAAATCTACTATATAAAACTAAAAATATTTAGGTAATGTGTTTGTAGTTTGAACTCAAAAACCATTTAGTATTTGCGGGATAAATTTAAAAAATCAGTGTTTTTCACATGGGCAGTTATATTTTGCGTGTTCACGAGTTTGGAAACCATACGCTTTATTTGTGTTAAAGTTAGATCAAAACACAAAAAATGTGGTTTACAAAGGAGCACTTCAATGAAACGGATAATTTGCGGACACGTATAACGCTTCGATTCGATATCTACGTTGGATTCACTTTCATTTACTTAGAGAAGTTCAACTAAATAACACTTCATTTTTGTAATCGAAATGAATTAATTACAGTTGTGAAATGAAATAAAAATTTTCTTTCCTTTTCAAATATAAAACAAAAAAAAATCTTCATCTTTTAATCACCAAACGAAATGTTATATAAAAGCCTTCTGGTGGCGAAACGGAGTTCGCCAGGTTTACTAGTATTAGTATAGATAAGCAAAGCATAGATTCATATAGTTTCGTTCGTTATGTTTGTTAAATATAATAAATAAAACTGCAAAAGCTTTTACACAAATTATTTTTATTTCAAATTAACTTTCAAAATAAACTAACACAAATTAACAAAACATATAATTTAACATTTACGCTTCTTCGGGGGTATGCCTGTCATTAGATATATTTTCTTTCTCCTCTTCTTTTAAAGAAATAAAATCACTGCAGACTGACAGCATTGATTTTTGTTTTTTCTTGTTGTCCGAAGAAACATCATCAGTCTCCAGCAACTTTTTGACTATCATCAACTCTTGGTTATCGACCTTAAAGGAGAAAATATATTAGATAAATATTCAAATAATAATAACTATTGTGAATGTATCTGGTAATAAGTATTATTTTTCATTTTACTGTATTCAGTGACCTACACCATTAACTTACCCACAAGTCATCATCAAATAAATCTTGGGAATTGTCAGGTTGTATTGTAGATGCAGCTAGTGAATTAACAAATGCAACAGGAGCAGTTTGATTTTTTGAAAAAAGGGTTTAAAAGTGTCCGAGCTTTGGTTATTCTTAACTGCCTAATTGTTTCTAGGCCACAGCACTCGCAATAATTGAAATTATCTGCAAAAATATATTATACAATTAATAATGTCTATTATATAATAAGAGTCAGCCAAGTTCAAGTAGAACTTGCGCATGAAGGGGTTCATTTCATTATAGAGAAAAACGATGAAAAAATCGTGTCTGTTTCTGTATGTGTTCATGACACCTATGCATGTGGTCATTTATTATTATTTGTCGAATTATAGAGAAAAAATATTGAACCGCTTACCGAGTATAATGTTGTCGCATTCCACACATCGACTGCACGTTTGCTTTTGTTTGCCATCTCTGGCAAATATTTTGCCATTACAAAAAATTGCATGTCACTGGAAGTAAATAAGTACTTATTTTATTTTTAAATGCAGAAGGCTTACAATCCACACTTTAAGAAGAAAACAAAATAAAGTTCACTTATAAACACAACCTGCCTACATACCTACTAAAATACTACTCACCATCTTAACGAAGAGCCCTTCGCTCCATCCACTTTCCACAATTGTGACAATGTTTGCCAAATGCAAGGAGATTCGGCTGTTAACAAAATGATATAGGTATCATCAAATAAAAGACTAAACGAAGACAGACACGACCAACGAAACATTTTATGAAATACTTACGATTTTCGGCATGATGTGTGTAATCTAGGGTTGCCAACTTTTTTTAGAAGATATAGAGTATATCTGATTTCAAAGGAGAAAAATAAAGAGTATGGAATTAAAAAAAAGAGTATCATTTATTTCATATCTTTAAAAAGATATTTTTTGTACTTTTTTTTTTCATTGCTTTTAAAAGAATTGTATAAGTCCAAACATTCTAACTCTTAGTTCATATAGATCAAGAGCTCATTTTTAATTAATTTCAATGAAGCTCTGTTCCTCTCTTCTCGTCACTTCACATTCATGACCGAAAAGACTCTTCCAGTAAATGCTGAAGTGGCGGGAACAGAAAGTATATAGTCAATAATTTTTTTTTCAAATAATCAAATTCTCCAGGACTCTTTTTAAATATAAATTGCCATTTTTCTACAGTGGATTTTGCATAAAATCTGAGTTATTTAATATTTCAGCTTGGAGGTCTTTTAAAATTATAACTTCTGAATATAAACCGTCCATGTGTAGTTTGTCTTTATAAAATAAGTTTTCTTCTACATTTTTTCTAAATGATTAAATTCAACATTACTTTTTAAAGATATTTTATTTAGCCAGTAATCACTACTAAAATAAACCCATTTTTGTAAATCAATTAAACATTTGTCTATACTCTATACACAATGTAAAATGCATGTTTATCTGTTTAAACAAATGAGGTGATGATTGTTCAATAAGTTTTAATTTCTGTTTTGTTGTATAGCCAAAATACTTGTCTTTCTGTCTTTGCAGTAATTCTGATTTTAAACTTTCCATTAATCCAAAAACATCTACAATTGGGTTTTTGAATAAATTTTTTTTTTGTGATAAATGGAAAGATCATATATAAGTTTTATATCAAAACTATTTTTATTTATTTTTTCTTTGCAATAATTAAAAAGTTATTTCAAAATAAAAATTAAATTTTAAATTCAGTACCGAAGATCCGCCGACAGCTCCCGAATAAATCCGAGCGCGTGTGACGTCACAATGTTAGTTTTTGCTCATTGCAGCATACAGAGATATAATAAATAGTACAGTGTTTTGAGTTTTTATCTAGTAAATTCTGTTGGCATTGTTAAATAATCAAAAATGTTAAAACTCAAAAGTTATCGCTCTTGTTTTGTACAAATACTACAAAAACAACTCCTGAAAAAATGTTTTTAAATGTTCCACAAGACGAAAAACGTCGAAAAAAATGGTTCCAAGCAGTGCACCGAGATTATTCAAAAACAAAATCAAATTTTTTTTGTTGTGAAAATCATTTTGATGTAATTATAATAATAATATAATCATAATAATATTGTTATTAATTATTTTATATCTAAGAGTATAAATCGAATAAGTATAGTTCAGTAATTAATTTTTTTACCTGGGCTCCAAATCATAACCTTTAGAATCGTAGCATTAAAAAAATTTTAATTGGTAATTCAAAGCTATTAAATAGTAAATCTATATGTATGTTTGTCTAATAATTGGAATTCAATTAATAGATATTTTCATAATTTTATAACATTCTAGGTTCTGTATCAGACTACATTTAAATTTTTAAACTATGTATATGTTATTTTGGTTCTTTATAATGTTATAATAACATTTTATTAATTCTTCTTTTATTATTCTTCTTCTTAATTTTTCATTGATAGTTAGAGTAACTGAGTAAGCTTTACTCCGAACTCGGTGTTCTGGACACACACGTCCTTTTAAAACACAAATACCATTCTTACGATTAAGTTGACCATAACCTATAGCTTTATCACCGTAACTCTCACGTGATGCTCTACAATTAATGAAATAATGATTAATTATATTTAATAGAAAATAAATACTTATTTTCATTTAGAATGGTATTTTTAACAGATTTACCTTGATGCCTTAGCACCTCGAACTTCAGCAGAATTAAACCGGACGTCATTTTTAAAAAAAATTGTTATAAATATATCAACATCAGGAATATTATCCGATTTTGCTTTTATAAATCCTTTATCACACATAGTTAGTCGAAATAAACTTTTCAAATCGTTTTTCACTAATAAATTTGAGATATTTTTATCAAGTCAAAAATAATAGCCATAAACACTGTACTATTATGAAATTGCTTTAACATTATGACGTCACAAGTATGCCGACCAATCATGGCGCGTTTACAGTCACGTGATTTGTTTTTGAATTTTATAAATTTTTAATTGTTTATAATTAATTTAAAAAAAATGTTTTCAAGTTTTATTGCATTAAAAATCCAATATAATTAATAATAAAGTTTTAAAATACATAAAAAAATCAATACTTTTTTTTTTCAAAATCCCAATTGTGACAGAGTTACCTTCCCTCTGGAAGGTCTTTATTTAATAGTTTTGTGAAATATATTTATAATATGGCTGGCAAAATGTAGATAAATTTCAATTAAATCTTGCTTACAATCTAACATCAATATTTTGAATTATCATAGGGCAATCCTCATCAAGACTTGGTGGTGGTGGTTTGAATGTGGTTGGAGGAAATTTGGGGATGCCAATTACCACCATATTAACAGTAAATAGTCGAACTTTTTGGTTTTGATTTTGGGTTTTTGCATAATATTATTTGACTAGTAAAAATGTGTAGAAAAAGAGTATTTTAGCGTACTTTATTAGTATTATAGATTACAGAGTACACTTACATGATATAGAGTACAATACTCTATTTTAGAGTACGGTTGGCAACCCTAGTGTAATCCAAACAAAGTAAATGACAATGACATTTGAACAACTAAATGACATTTGAACTAAAACCTCGACTTTAAGGTTCGTAATTCGCAATCGGCCAATCAGCAATCTTAGGTTTAAGATTTAAGGTTTAGGATTTGAATAGGTTGAATAGGTTTAGGATGTGAATCTAACAATCCCAATATAAGTTCAATTCATTAGGTTTGTAAAAAGAGCATCATTAGCAAGTTCTCTTCGAATTTTATGAAGAAAACTTAAATAAATGAATGTATATATTCCTATGTATTAAGCATATAACACTATATATCTTAAATATTTCAATGAGCAACTCTTGTATATATTTATATTGGAATCTCGGAATCGGCTCCAAAGATTTTCATGAAATTTAGTATAGAGGTTTCGGGGCGATTAATCGATCTAGCAGGCAATCATTTTTAGAAAATGTTATTTAATGAAAAATCATTGTCAGACGTCAATAGCCCAATAATAAATAAGGATGACAGTATAAAAAAATAACAAAAAGGAGGCGTTAAAAAAATGACTCTTCCTGACATCTATTGGCGAATAGTAATACTACTTGTTGCTAATTGCTTTAACGACACAACAGCAGATGTCGTCATTAAGTAACAGGAACTAGGAAGTCAATGTTTGTTTTGTGGTTAGACTAAGAAATTAATTGTTGATTTATATTGTTTTGTGTCCTCTAAACGTGTTCACTTAAAAATGTCTCAACAAAAAAAAATACACAAAATATAAACTAATAATTGCTAAATAACTAGCAAAGCTCGGTGTCTAGAAATTTGAAAGTGAACTTAGAACTCAAAATTTAGTTTGTTCTTGGTAGACAATTATATAACTTGGATAATAAGACAAAAAAATATTAAACTATTTGAAGATTTTCCATTTAATTATCAAAATAATTCTTTTTAAATATTCATCTGTTCACTAATTTCTTATTTTATACTTTTCAATATATTTTATGATATGAATAGAAAACCAAAGTAACTTTTTATTATACATGGCGTTCACAATGTCAGAAGGACTTCTATATTAATATAATAAAACCCATATATATGTTATAAATGGTATTTATGTCATTACACAGTACACTTATGTCATTGTTCTCAGTATTCAAATTCAATAATATTTTCAAAGTCAATATCTCTGTCTGTGTCACTGCTCACTTCTTCGGCTGCCTGCAAATTAAATATTGATATATATATATATATATATATTGATATATATATTAAATGTGATTTATATGACACAATCAATTAAAAGATTAATGAGTTTCTCTGTAAAAAAGAAACTACATTTTTAGCTATTAATATACTATGTAGATTCCAATATCTTCGTCTTCTTTCTGGAATTTTCCCAGCTATAGCCAGGGTCTGCATTGTTGTGAATAGTTTTGGCTTATTGTTTTTATGACCCGCAGCCTGACATCAACCCTCTTTGGACTCGTACATATAAACATCACATTGGTAGTTGCCAGGGCCAGGATCGAACCCGCACCCTCGTGTATGAGAGGCGGGACTTTTAACCACTATTCCACTGTTAGATAACAAGCTTCTCCGAAACGGCTGGACCGATTTTGATGAAATTTTGTACGCATTTTGAGTAGCTCTGAGAATCGGCCAACATCTATTTTTCATACCCCTAATTCATAAGGGTTGCTCACCGTTATTTTTCTTCGTAGGATTTATTTTTTTATAATGTAGCATTGAAAAATACATACAACCCAAAAATTTTACTTTTTCATCACCGAAACCTATTTTTTATATTATGATAAAATAACGTTTGCCGGGTTAGCTAGTATATATATGTGTATGTATATGTTATATGTATGTATGTATATGTTATATGTATGTATGTATGTGTTATATACAGGGTGACTGGTGAATTACTATCAATATTTAAGGAGAATACTCGGTACATGATTCTCATTCGAATTATGTAAAAAAAATAGGCACTTAATTTTTGACAAAATTTCCGTATAAATAAATAAAGTGTGTACACGTTCCAAGTGTTCCAAGCGTGGACGTGTGCGGCGGCGTGCTGATACAACACAACGCCGCCGCCGCGTCTGTGTGAGTGTGTGTGTATACCTAATCTGTAGGGTGTTCATACGATGCGTAATTAATTACATAACTTTTGGTTAACTTTACTTCGAAGTTTATTAATATTTATGTTATATTAATTTTTATTTTGTCATATATGATCGTCACAAATCACGTCCTCAAATATCGATAGTAATTCACCAGTCACCCTGTATATATACTAACAGTCGTCATCATTGTCCGAGCCCGAGTCTGATCCGTCATCGTTTTCAGAGCCTCCAGCGAGGTCGTCTTCCTCCTCGTCTTAGTGTAATATTTAATTAAAGAAAAACCAATACTATTTATAATAAATGTTATATGTAAGGGGCCATTCAAGTATTACGTAAGCACTATGGAGGGGCGGGGGGATCTTTGCTCTGCTTATTTTGGATGACATGGGGGGTAGGGGAGTCTAGGTATTGATTATGTCATCAGTAGTTATTTACTTTTTTATCGTCACATCGAGAAGATCCATACGAAAATATTTGTTTTATTTTTTTTTTATTTGTATTTAAAAAAAAAACAATACAGTAATTGAAAATGTTTACGTAAGCATGAGGGGAGGGGTAAGAGTTTTGCTTACTTTTGCTGACAAGGGGGGGGGGGGGGGGGGGGGGGGGGGGTAATATTAATACGTAATACTTGAACGTCCCCTAAGTACAGTAGAAACTCAATTATCCGGCCCTCAGTTATACGGATTCGCGATTATTCTGACCACGGACAAGTCCGGACAAGAAGAAATGTCAAAGCGTAAGAGAGCGGTGTTGTTGAGAGTGCCGTACGCCAAATGACTATTACCAAATATTCTAAACCAAATTAAACTTATTATTTTAATTCATCGTCACCAATTGCAAAATAACAAATACATATTGTTCTTTATTTTTTAAATAAACATGTAATATTATGTACTACATATGCATAAAACCGGCCTTTTCTTCATACATCCGGATGTTCGATTATCCGAATGCCTATCGACAACAAATAATCCGGTTAATCTTCTGTATATCAGTGTTTGTCTGTCTCTGTGTGTGTGTCTGTTTGTGTCTGTATATCTCCTCACCGCGTCAACTTCACACACGACTCCTGAACTTGTTCAAAGTCCCCCATGTTCTCTACTAGCGCTATCTGCGTCCCGTAGCGAGTATATGTTGCGTTTCACGTCGATCGTGGCTGAAACAGTAATATATATGATATAGCTCTAGTGCTATGCCCACCAGTCCTATTTGTGTGCGTGGCGGGTACTCACCGATGCTGGAGTAGTCCTAGGGGTCCAGGGTCTTGAAGCTGGTGTCGAACTGACTCCTCTCCTTCGAGTGTTGGTCGGAGCACACCGCGTATAACACGCCGCACGACGGACTGGACGTTACCTGAAACAAACATATACATATATATATATATATATATATATATATATATATATATATATATATATATATATATATATATATATATATATATTTAATCAAATTTGGTAGAGAGAGGAGCTTGGACAGTGGAGGTGAGCGTTTAACGCATTAGATAGGGCCCCTTAAACCTACACCTGGGTCACAAGTCCCAGGCACTGTTGAAGCTCCTCTCACTATAGTCCAGTCAAAATAGACAAAAATAAGTCATAACTTAGCCAAAATTCGCATAGAGCTGAAAATTGCCAGAGACGTTAAATACATCATTATAAATGAAATATCAAAAATCCCCTTCGATCCTACTTCTGCAAAAAATTTTATTCAAGGTCAAAAGATTAAAAAAAAAAAATTAAGGTTTTTTCCATTTTTCTCGAAAACAGTAAGTATTATCGTAAAAATAGGTCGGACAAAAGTTGTAGATCATACAATTCTCTACAAAAATGGTCCAGTCATTTTTTCTCTTACGACTCACCATTCATGAGATATCGCGGTTTTAATCATTAGAAAATTCATATTTTACATAATAGCACACATTTCCGCACCACCTATAGTGAGGTAATGTACTTGGCGCCCCGGCGTCGGGACGTGACGACCCCATCGCCCACCGGTGTATTCCGGTGCAATTAGTCACGGGGGGGAAGGGCCTTGACCTCCTCGTAGTGTCTTGGCCCGGGCTGGGGGTGCAGCCCATGGAGGTGGGTAGGACGAGGCTCGGCGGTGTACACCGCCGCTGCCAAGTTCGGCCCTACGTGTTGGCGGGTGGCCTCGGCCACTGTCGGCGCAGTCCGGCGTCGGGACGTGACGACCCCATCGCCCACTGGTGTATTCCGGTGCAATCAGTCAGGGGGGGGAGGGCTGGGGGTACAGCCCTGGGAGTAAGACGGTCACGGATCTGGCAGGAGGCCGTCCGTGGCTGTCTTGGGGGGGAGGGGATACTCGGGTCTCTCCGGAGGCCTGAGTTCGCTTGTGGTCGGTCGGTTTCCTCTCTGTCTGCCGTCGGGCGCTTGCGCTCGTCGGTGGGTGGTTGGAGACTGGCCGCGTGGGCTTGGGTGGGAGGGGTAAGGGGTTAACCCTCTCGCGATTAAGCAAGCCCGCCAGGCGGGGGGACACTCCTGGTCACTTGGAGTGAGCCCTCGGGGGGGGAGGTGGCCGTTCGCGGCCCGCCGCCGGATCGTCGCGGATGCATGCTTCGGCGTTTCCCGTGGCGATCCACTTGGCGGCAACGGAGAGTGACCGCTGGTGTTTTAGTGGGTAACATGGGCCCTTCTGGCCGTGAATCCCACATAACCGCCTCTGTCTCCCCTAGACGGAGGGGTAGGTATAAAACCTTTCACCGCGATAACAAAAAAAAAAAAAAAAAAAAAAAAAAAAAAAAAAAAAAAAAAAAAATGTACTTGGCGCATTTTTTTTAACGTGGTTTCCCCAGTAGGTATACTCCACGATCTATTGTAATAAAGAAAGTTTGATCAGATCGTATCCTATTAATTGAAAGAATAGTAATATTGCTAATGATTAAAGTGGAATAGATTGTTTTTTTCTACATGTCATCATTATATAAGATAATTGTCTATTTCTACTTCAACAATTATTTCTTAGTCTTCATTCTCTTCTTCTTGCCAGTCAGTGGTGGCCTAGTGGTTAAAAGGTTAGTGGTTAATGTCGAAACAAATTAACAAACTTGATATAATATGTAGTAGATACTTCCAATATTAATGTTTGGTAAACGGTTAATAGTTCATATATAACAAGATGTCATGTAGATGTCGCGACCAAGCTACCTCTGCTAATCACTAAATGTACATTATAATACATCGTACCGTACCGTACAATGTGGTTCCGTATATTGTAAACACTATATACATTACATTAAGTGTTATACTGGACCGTACCCGTTGCATGGCCTCCAGAAACTTGCCCATCTTCTTGAAGCTCGACTTCTTAACATCTAAGGTTCGGTCGGACATGCACACAGCGGCATGAGGTGGTTCCTTAAACAAACACATGCATCCTATTAACACAGAGAATCAATACTAATATTATAAATGCGAAAGTTACTCTGTCTGTCTGTCTGTTACGCTTTCACGCCTTAACCACTGAATTGATTTTAATGAAATCTGGTACCGAGATAGAGTTGACCTTGAAAAAGAACAGGATAGTTTTTATCACAGACTTTTGAAAGGTTCTCTTGAAAACGCGATATAACCGAACTCCACGCGGGCAGAAAACTAGTCATATATAAAATATACTTTATAATGTCTAGCAGTGGCGGCTGTACCTTAAGTGCGCCCGTGCGCTGAACCACCAATTCAAAATATTTAAAAATTACAAAATATTATGTCATCTTAATTTTTAAATTACCATTTTAATATTTATTTTTTAAACATACAAAAAGGTATAAAAAATTTAATTTCCAATTATGGTCAAAAAGTTTGAGCGCTTTACTAAACTCATATCGTGCGCTCCGGCGAGTGCACGAGGACTGCTAATACATCTTGTATGAGACACGCATCAATACGCCTGGCGCGTGAGACAAAAGATAGTTCATAGAAATGTACCGAGTAACGAGTCGGTTCTCGCGCGCCGCACGAAGCGGCCGAAGGTTACCGAGAGCACCCGATGTATGACGTATTGAGCCGGCCGGCAAGGGGCCGGCCGAAAGGATGGGTGCTATGATTGACATTTCGTTAATCGTTATTGGTATTGTTTCAACTTTCACTGTATGCGTGACGCGTTAATTCGTTATTGTTTATAATTATTTCCGTAATTCGTTTTAGTTTTTATTTCGTTTCTATAATAGAACTTTTATTCTGTACTGTGTTTTTCATTAGTTGAAAATGAGTATAAATATTGATTATATTAAAGAAAATAACAAAATTTTTCAAAGTAAAGTGAACATAAAATTGGCCGGGCCGTCACGGCCCTTTTTAAATTTAAAAACAAGAGTGTAAATCTAAAAATAAAGCATTTATACGAAGTTTTAAAAGTGAAATGTATAATAGAAAGAAATGGTTGTGTGGATGTGAGCGTCTTAATGCATTCTTTTGTTTTCCTTGCATTATTTTTGGCGGAGAATCGATTTGGACAGAAACTGGAATCAAGGATTTGACGCATTTAAGTGAAAAAATAAAAAACACGATTCTGCACAAGTACACCTACAAAATGTAATGAGTTTGTCTGTGTTAGGCACAGTCGATATTCGTAATCAGCTAGATTCTGTGTATAGAAGTAATATCCAAAAGTATAATAAACAAGTTGATAAAAACAGATACATTTTATCACGTCTTATCGATTGTGTCAAGTTTTGTGGTGCATTTGAGTTAGCTTTGCGAGGTCACGATGAAACTATTGAGTCCAGTAATGCTGGAGTGTTTCGTGGATTAATAGACTTTGTATCAGAGTTGGATATAGTTATGAATTAATGTACAAAAAATAAACATATTTTATGTCAATTGTTGTTTTTGTCAATATTTTAGTAAAGTGAACCACCAGTTCGATAACCCACCAGCCGCCACTGATGTCTAGAGTAGTCTTTGAATACGAAAGGTGTTCTTTAGTACATCTTGAACATGTTCCCCAAGTCGTAACTCTTTGGAACAATCCTAAATGTTCAAAGTTAATCAAACAATACTAACTTGTATAATAAGTTCGTCTTGAGCGGCAGTTCAACATGTTTAGCCTCCAGTTTAAGAAATGAAAGCAAACACCAACGAAGGAGACCGTCCATGTCACCCGGGATTGAGACTTTACATGATACATCTGAAAAAAAACATGCATTATATAAAAGGATCAAGTAAAAGATGAATCGTTACTATTGAAATAATCTCACGCCATTGAAAGACGAACCGGTGAGAATTCTAAAGGATATTGACATTTTGTTCCAGATATTAAAAATGATATAAAGTTTGATCAACTACAATCAGCAGACGCCATTTTAAGAGATATAGAAGCATGTGTTGACGTGACTCTCTAATATACATATTTGTTTTCTTGTTTTAGTGTATTCATTTGTATTGTTTATTGTAAGTAAGAAATTACAATCAACATCAAAATTTTCGCGAGTCTTATACATTTAAATGAAATTCATATTTTTAGGATGTACTACGTGACTTTCTTTTTGATAAAAACTATATACTCCCATACTCCGGCTACTTTACAGCGACCGTGATTACGGTTAGGTGAGATATTTATCAAAACTAAAGTCGCATAGTAATATGAAAAATATTAGTTTCATTTAAATCATTATTATCTCATTCTAGAACATCTATCCATATCTTCACTTGTGTTATTTACTACCTGACTCTGCTGTATTATTGAGGTCATTATTTTCCTCGTCTTGTGATACATTTGTAATTGTTTCAGGGACTGAGTCAACAATGACTGCCGGTTCATTGATGGGAGCAGACTCTGTCTTCACTAGACTTGGCCATTCGTCTTTGACTGGTTGAATGTTTAACTGTGAATGTTATGCATATACAAAACATATATAATTTGGAAACATTTTGAATTAAATTATTTAATATTTCCCTCCTCTTTTCTATATTTGTTATAGATTTTTAAATGAATAAATCATAACATAAACAAGATAATGTAAGATTTATTATTTTCAATCAAAGACTAAGTATTTTTATTAATATACAGCAGTATAAATTATGAAGTAATGTTACCTTATTGATCTCATTAGTCAATAGTTCAGTTATGTTGTAGGATCCAGGATCTAGTTTGGGTCTCTCTATTTTCACAAATTTCTTTTCTTTATACAATTGATCCCCAAATACATGAAGGATTTCCAGACAAACACTCCTGTCAATTGAAAAAGCTTAATTTAGATATAATGAGAATATATATATGTGTATGTAATAAATAATATCGATATACACTACTAGTGACAAAAATTCTATGTTATTAACTACATCATGCAAAGTTCTTAAGCAAAAATGTTACAGAATACTTAAAAATTTTCTATCAACTACAACAAACATGACGAGCACTTAACAAACTTTTTAAACCTGACACCTGACCTACATTCTGTCTCTCAGTAGTTCAGCGGAGGATATTTTGGCTCGTCCAACTATACAGGCAGCGGCATTGTCTCCGGTACAAGCAGCTACCAATGCTCCTGAACGATACTGGGGGAACTGACCGTGAGTGTTCACACCAGGAACATACAGAGGGGCCCCTCCGTGGATCTGAAGAGTTAGAATACACATTTATATATACTTTCCTTCATTACCTCTTTAATATATGATAGAAAATAATGTAAATACATAACAATTATATTAACAAATGATAGATATTAACATTAATGGATCAATGACTGTAAAAATTATGTCCTATTAGGAGTGGTTATGATAAATAATTACTAAGGAAAATAAGATCACAGAGCATAAATCTTACCTTCTATAATATTAAAGGGTGAGTGTATATTAAGTTACACCACAATAATCAATCAATTTAATCGATATTATAATGAATTATATTCTAATCAATATTGAAATCATATAAATCTATATATTACCTTACTTAGAACTGGGGTGTGTATACACCTGGGAGGCGGTGGTCCGGTTCAGCGAGTGCGTCATCTCGCGGAAAGAGGCCGCTGAACGAGCGCGGGAAGATGACCCTTCCTCGGCGCCCCTGCGTCGACGAAGGCTGGGTAGAAGGCAGCGGGCCTACGCTCGCCAAATGCCTCCCCAGTGAGAGGAGCCTCCGGGCGTTGGTGGGGAACCGGCGTCCGGGCAACATAGGCTGGAGTGAGAGTGGCGTGCTTGGCGTTCCCGGCACGCTGCTCTGGAGTCGGAGGGGAAGTGTGGTGGAGCCACTGTGACCTCTGCCGAAGACGGAGTCCATGGGACTCGTGCGTAGTGAGCGGAAGTATGGCTTGCCGTTCCCGCTCACTAGCCTACGCACAGCGCAGAGAACGCCGAGGAGTTTAGTGGGTGGAAATCCCACACGCCCCCGCCGTGTTTTCCCCAGCGGCGGGAAGTCTTTGAAAGATTCTCCTCGTTAAAAAAAAAAAAAATGGGGTGTGTATACAAATAATGGGCACCAAATCTGGGGCTTTCCACAGAGCACAGATAGTTGGGATCAAACTTTCACCGAGATCGATCATGATCGGTACTCCGTCAATCACATACACTCCTGCAGTGTCTCCAGAGTGAAGCACTAACTCCATATAACTAACATTTGATTTGTTCGGAACTAACTCCTTGACATTTTCTTCAGTAATTCCCGGAAACTCATATTGTATACGTTCCGCAAGTTGTTTTCTGAAATATGAATCCTTGAGATTCTGAAGTCTTGACATGAAATTTAATTAAACATTAACTTAAATGAATACGCTAAGATACCTACTTCCCTGAATTTTTCAATGTGTTGTTTGATTTTAATTTGTACGGTTTGGCGAACATAGTTACTGGATATTTAAAACAGCTGCCGTTGTGACTTATGTCAGACGTCTGAAGTTACGATTCATGAACTGACATGTTGTATTCTTATTAATATTGGTTGGGAGCATTAATGCTTGGATGTGAATGTTTTATTTTAAAAACAATTCCCATTCCACTAAGCTGTTATTAGAATTATATTTCTTTTATTATATAAAAGGTGCAATACGAGCACACGTCATACTTTATAGGAAGTATTCACCGTCGCCCATGGACATTTATAAAATAAGAGGAAGGGCAGGAAAGGGCTGGAACAGGAAAAAGGTAACATGTTCTATCATTCATCGGACTCAACGCAGCCATTAAAGGCTACCTGACGCCGATCTTCAGTGAAAGGGTTATACATCCCTGGTGGAACCAGCCCACGTTCTAGATGTAGGAATTTGACTCAGCTAGGCTCTGCCTCCAATATGGTGTGAAGTTATGAACTCTGTATGTGGTGTGTTTTAGAAGTCTACCACTTCTTCAGGAAACAGTTCTACTGAAAGAACAGGTTGGGCACTATCCCAACCATTTTAAATTAAATTAATTTTTTTTTAATGCTGATAAAAAAATACGATATTCATTAATTGCAATAGTTGCAATACTATTATAAAAATAAATAAATTAGTATAAATATCTATGTTATACAAAATACTTTATTCATTAAATATATAAATTATTTACAGTATTTTATTAATATCTTAAGTTCATTATCATCGGCCTATCAGAGACCACTGCTGAGGAAAGGCCTCTTCTCATGTGGATAAGGTTTGTACATTAATCACCATGCTTACTCAAGGCGGATTTGTGATTTCAAACCTATAATTGTGAAATTATAACATACACGAGAGGCTGGCCTTTAACTTCTAGGCTACTACTATTCACAATATTAAGTAATATAGATGAATGAAAACTATTCCCCTAATCTTATATATTTAAATGAGCAATTCTTGTATATATAACATATTTATTGGAATCTCGGAATCAGCTCTAACGATTAGTAGGGGATTTCGGCGGCGATAAATCGATCTAGCTAAGAATCATTTTTAGAAAATGTAATTTTATTAAAAAGAAATACAAAAGGAGTCGTTTAAAATATGACTCTTCCTGACATCTATTGGCGAATAGTAATACTACTTTTTACTATTTTTGCTTTTGCTAATTGCTTTAACGACACAACAGCAGATGGCGTTGTTAAGTACCAGGAAGTCAATGTTTGTTTTTCCTGGGACACGAATAAACCAAATAGCGTATATTCACCCTTATATTGTGTTGTGTCTTCTTATAACGTGTTCACATAAAAATGCCTAAACGAAATAATAAAAAAACAGAAAATAAATACTAATAATGTTATATATTATTTTTAGAAAATGTAATTTTATTAAAGAAAATACAAAAGGAGTCTTTTAAAATATGACTCTTCCTGACATCTATTGGCGAATAGTAATACTACTTTTTGCTATTAGCTTTTACTAATTGCTTTAAGGACCCATCAGCAGATGGCGTTGTTAAGTTCCAGGAAGTCAATGAGTGTTTGTTTTTTCTGGGACACGAATAAACCAAATAGCGTATATTCACCCTTATATTGTGTTGTGTCTTCTTATAACGTGTTCACATAAAAATGCCTAAACGAATTTAAAAAAAAAAAACACAAAATAAATATTAAAAATTGCTAAATACCGAGCAAAGCTCGGTAACCAGATGTTCATTTATTATAGCAGCATCTTCAGACACGGCAGTAGCTATTTACAAATGTGAAATGCTATGCAAGAATCATATTTTATTGACAGTTTCGTTAAGATTGTAGTACTTAATTATATATAATGGATAAAGGTTGATAATAAATGCGAATTAAAATAAATTGCAGCGTAATTGTTGAGCACTACAAACGATTAAATTTGTAAAAAACAGAAACAACCTAACAAATAAATATACTTTTATATTCACGAATGTATTGAATATTATATTACGTTTTTTTACTAATTTTTTATACATACAAGTTCATGATCCGAAGTTTCGGTTTCTTTTACAACAACCGCGATAACGGGCTCGTACTGCGTAACTAAGCATTATTACGTACACACGAAAATCTTAAATTTCAATACTGTATATTTTTTACTAGCTTTTGCCGCGACTCCGTCCGCGTGGAATAGTGACTTCCGGCAGATTTTTGGTTCTTCCCACATAGTTTCCGTTCTTGCGGGGTTTTCGGAATGGTCGAGTTCTCGTAGAATTTTTAGGATACAACCTATGTTTTTTTTTCTTCGAGTTCCAAACTATATCTGTACAATTTCACCCTAATTTTTTGGTCTTAGTTGAAAGGGCTATATATAAAGATATAACAACTCGAGAAATATATACGTGTCGTATTTCGTACAAAAATTATAGATCATGAAATTATCTACAACAAACGTTTTCATACTTTTTTTCTTACGAGCCACCGTTTCTGAGATATAACGATTCAAAAAGTTATAAAAGTTGTTATCGTCATAATATGCATGAATTTCAAACTGATTTTTTGGTCTTATTTGAAAGGACTATAAATAAAGAGATATAACAACTCTAGAAATATATAGGTACGTGTCGTATTCATGCATATTTCAGACAAAAATTATAGATCATAAAATTATCTACAACAAATGTATCTAACTTTTCTTCCTACGAGCCACCGTTTCTGAGATATAACGATTCAAAAAAGTTATTAAAGTTGTTATCGTCATAATATGCATGAATACGACACGTACCTATATATTTCTAGAGTTGTTATATCTCTTTATTTATAGTCCTTTCAAATAAGACCAAAAAATCAGTTTGAAATTCATGCATATTATGACGATAACAACTGTTATAAATTTTTGAATCGTTATATCTCAGAAACGGTGGCTCGTAAGAAAAAAAGTATAAAAAACGTTTGTTGTAGATAATTTCATGATCTATAATTTTTGTCTGAGGTACTTTTCTGATAAAACTTACCGTTTTGCTGAAAATCGCGAAAAACGTCAAGATCAAATGTCAAAAAATTGAGTTTTTCGCGATTTTCAGCAAAACCGTAAGTTTTATCAGAAAAGTACTTCAGACAAAAATTATAGATCATAAAATTATCTACAACAAATGTATCTAACTTTTCTTCCTACGAGCCACCGTTTCTGAGATATAACGATTCAAAAAAGTTATTAAAGTTGTTATCGTCATAATATGCATGAATACGACACGTACCTATATATTTCTCGAGTTGTTATATCTCTTTATTTATAGTCCTATCAAATAAGACCAAAAAATCAGTTTGAAATTCATGCATATTATGACGATAACAACTGTTATAAATTTTTGAATCGTTATATCTCAGAAACGGTGGCTCGTAAGAAAAAAAGTATTAAAACGTTTGTTGTAGATAATTTCATGATCTATAATTTTTGTGTGAGGTACTTTTCTGATAAGACTTACCGTTTTGCTGAAAATCGCGAAAAAACGTCAAGATCAAATGTCAAAAAATTGAGTTTTTCGCGATTTTCAGCAAAACCGTAAGTTTTATCAGAAAAGTACTTCAGACAAAAATTATAGATCATAAAATTATCTACAACAAATGTATCTAACTTTTCTTCCTACGAGCCACCGTTTCTGAGATATAACGATTCAAAAAAGTTATTAAAGTTGTTATCGTCATAATATGCATGAATACGACACGTACCTATATATTTCTAGAGTTGTTATATCTCTTTATTTATAGTCCTTTCAAATAAGACCAAAAAATCAGTTTGAAATTCATGCATATTATGACGATAACAACTGTTATAAATTTTTGAATCGTTATATCTCAGAAACGGTGGCTCGTAAGAAAAAAAGTATGAAAACGTTTGTTGTAGATAATTTCATGATCTATAATTTTTGTCTGAGGTACTTTTCTGATAAAACTTACCGTTTTGCTGAAAATCGCGAAAAACGTCAAGATCAAATGTCAAAAAATTGAGTTTTTCGCGATTTTCAGCAAAACCGTAAGTTTTATCAGAAAAGTACTTCAGACAAAAATTATAGATCATAAAATTATCTACAACAAATGTATCTAACTTTTCTTCCTACGAGCCACCGTTTCTGAGATATAACGATTCAAAAAAGTTATTAAAGTTGTTATCGTCATAATATGCATGAATACGACACGTACCTATATATTTCTAGAGTTGTTATATCTCTTTATTTATAGTCCTTTCAAATAAGACCAAAAAATCAGTTTGAAATTCATGCATATTATGACGATAACAACTGTTATAAATTTTTGAATCGTTATATCTCAGAAACGGTGGCTCGTAAGAAAAAAAGTATTAAAACGTTTGTTGTAGATAATTTCATGATCTATAATTTTTGTCTGAGGTACTTTTCTGATAAAACTTACCGTTTTGCTGAAAATCGCGAAAAACGTCAAGATCAAATGTCAAAAAATTGAGTTTTTCGCGATTTTCAGCAAAACCGTAAGTTTTATCAGAAAAGTACTTCAGACAAAAATTATAGATCATAAAATTATCTACAACAAATGTATCTAACTTTTCTTCCTACGAGCCACCGTTTCTGAGATATAACGATTCAAAAAAGTTATTAAAGTTGTTATCGTCATAATATGCATGAATACGACACGTATATATTTCTAGAGTTGTTATATCTCTTTATTTATAGTCCTTTCAAATAAGACCAAAAAATCAGTTTGAAATTCATGCATATTATGACGATAACAACTGTTATAAATTTTTGAATCGTTATATCTCAGAAACGGTGGCTCGTAAGAAAAAAAGTATGAAAACGTTTGTTGTAGATAATTTCATGATCTATAATTTTTGTCTGAGGTACTTTTCTGATAAAACTTACCGTTTTGCTGAAAATCGCGAAAAAC